GATAGTTTGATTGATCCCAAGAAAAATGAGCTTGACAACCCAACAAGCCTACTTCGGTTTGTAAATACTGCAGGAATAATGCTCTGAATAAGAGTGACATCAATAGAGACATAACAATAGGCCTCCATGGCCGCGTTGCAGTTTAGCCATGAAGAAAAAAAAAGAACAACCATAGTTTCATATATCTGGTCTGGTTAAAATGAGGAAGAGAGTTTGGTTGAGAAGAGACTTTTTAATAGATATAATTATGTAAAATTTAAAGAACTGAATTGAAAGATATCATATATCTTCAATAAATTATAAAGACAAAATATCTTTCTTACTATTATATTAAAATATTTTAAACAAGAATATCTGTAAATATGGTTATAATGTTTATGGTTCATGATTATAGAAGTAATGCTCTGAAGATGGGGAGTGTTGCACCGAATGTTAACAAAGAATTTTAAATAATAAAACATGAAGCAGTAAATTGTAAATAACCTACGGGAAGTTAATTTTAAATAATTAGTTTTGGCGGGAATAGGTGCATAGCCTTCCGCTTTTATATCGGGGTTTAAGGTTATTTACACTTGTGAATTAGCAAATTATTAGCAAAATACATTACCGACCATATACCATTTCAAATAATGATACAAGATGAAAAAAGAAATATATTAATGTTAAATTTCACTCAAATAAAACCAAGTATCTAGGAACGTTTGGACAGAATGTGAGGAAGAAGAAAACAACTATGTAACGCCAGTAATTAACATGACTTCAATAGCAAATAATCTTAAGATAAATGGTTAACATCACAGATTTTGTAAATAAAAATTTATAGAAGGATTGAAAAAGGTCAAAGCTAGGTCTGCACAAATATTTTAAATGGACACCAAATAAGTATGCAAATATACCAAAAGAACTAAGAGAAGTAACTTAACGTAACTAGAAGAAGTAAAGTAACCAATAAGGAATAAATAAAATGTTGCATACTTTTGATTTATCTTATGTTCGTGATTGAACTTTGATTAAAATTAATATTAAATGCTGTTTATAAATTTTGATAAAATGATAATAAAAGCAAATGTTTAACAAATTAAAAAAAGAAATTGTAAACAATTCGATCAACTTAATTTTTTCAAAGTTTGACAAGTTATCTGAGAATGTCCATTACATGAAATGAAAAATATAGCTCTAATAGACAAATATCTTACCCTTTCCATTTGTGAATATTCCTACGAATTTATGATTATCTTTGTTTCAACGTAGCCAATTGACGTTCTGTCTCCACATACTGGATTCTAAACAATAGAAATTTGTTGAAACAAAATACTTATTGTCAGAGTAGCTTCGCAAGAACAAACAACAGTTGTACCTAAACAGAAAAGTTGGTATATAAAACTATAAAAGTTAAAAAATAATATAAAAGATAAGTAATTTTACAAAAAATCAAACTAGTTATTATTTCTTCAAATGAATCATCACCTAACTAAAGGAAGCTTATCACTTTATAAGTCGAGGCCGATCAAGGATTGGAAAGTATTCCTGAGGCAATGGCAGCAAGAAGACTCCGGAAGAAAGACTGTTATGATAGAAAAAAATGGCGGCAGGGCTTTTTAAGCTATGACATATGACTTTTTTTATTTTTTTATTTTTGTCCTCCCTTTCCTTGCCTTTTAGGCTATATGAGGTTTGCTCAGGCCAGTGGATGAGGGCGAGGGATTAATGCCTGAGTTAAAAGCCCCTCCTCCCCCCCCCCATGGGCACCGTGGCGTGAACTCATATTTGTTTTATCAATTTATCTTTGAAGCGGGTTGCCAGGCAATGAAGGTGCTGTGGCCGTTAGTCCGCTCGACCACCCCGCCCCCATATACGACGTGACTATAAAGGCTTGTAAGCATTTACACGAAAATTCGATACACCAATTTCTCCGAAAAAACCTTAATAAACACACCATAGATAAACGAATTTTCTACATTTTAGAATAAACTAAAAATTGTGATTACATGCATAATAAAATCTGATTTTATATCATCCTTATATACTAATGTCCTACAGTTATTTAAATATAATCACTGATAACATTTACTACATATTAATATAATATTAAGATAATATTCAAAGGAATTATTTATTACAACATATCAGCAAATAAATTCTAACAGAGCCTAACCCAATTTTCATTACTTTACATTGTAAAGTAATGACCTCTTGACCTTTACCTCTTGTAAAGTTTACAAGAGGTTAAAATAATTCAAATGATTTTGTTGCTTAAGGCCTCCTTCTTAAAATTGTTGGTATATTTATTGTGGTATATTATATAAAGCAGGTGAAACAGAAATGTTTGAAAATGGCACAAAAGGCTGAAACAATACAAATTTTTAAAGGAAAGGAGGACTCAGCTGTCCTCAGAAAAAGTAAAAAAGCTTGTTTTTTTGAAATATAATTCATAAGTTTATTGATTCTAAAGTATTTATTACAGGGACAAATATGGCACTAAAGGAATAAAATATATATCGGCACATATTTAATATATATTTTATTGTCCAGTAACTAGTATCAATGCAATGCTTAATTTAATAAGATATGTATAAAAAATTTTTACATTAACATTTACCTGTTAGCTACTTATTTTAATTAAGATTTTATTGAAGTTGTTAAATAATTTGTTTTGATGTAAATATGTTTACCACAAAGCTAATAAATGTTTGTTTTTATAAAGTCAAAAGTCTTTATCGCCAGTGAAATTAATTATTATAATATGTCGATAACATCTTCCTTATTTTCATTTCATTTCAAACTAATTAAGTTAAAAGTTCAAATTTTTCTAAGCTATTTTTGTTTTATATATATCTGGGATCAGAGTACTAACACATGGAGAAGAAAGACCAATAAAGAACTGCTTACAGAAACATTGTCAATCAATCTCCCATGATATGAAGGCACAGAGATAAAGATGGACGGGCCATGTAGCTGCTAGCAATCCATCTGGAAGCCACTACGTAACAATGAATGCCTCAATAGTAGGCAAAAGACCACGTCGAAGGCCAAAAAGCAGATGGATAGATAGAATCAACAAAGATACAATAGAGCTGCGTGCAGATAAATGGAAAGAAATAGCCCAAGACAGGTAGAGATTGAGCATACTTGTTAAGGTGGCAAAAGATCTACATGGTCTGTAATACAAACAGAAAAAATAAATATATATATATAGAGAATAGATAGAATAGAAGAATCAACTTTATTCTGGAACAAAGTCCCTTGAGAATAACAATTTGTACATAAAAATTAACATAACATCTGGCCAAAATGCATATTACAATAAAAAAAAACAACTAAAAAATAAGTAATAACAGAAGGATTTACATAACTATACTGATATATTAAAGACATAATATGAGCAATAAGGTCCTAATACTGCAAGATAGTTACTAAAAACAATAAACTATGGAATTTTAACTGAAATTTGAAATGAACGACAAATTACTTTTGTTGTCATACCATTGTATTAATGAAAAAGATAATAATAAAAGAGTGGATAAATATTTACTTTAAATGATTTACATATGTAATTTAATATGTTCAAAGAATACAATAATAGTATTGTAAACATTATACAAGTCCTATATAATCTAAATCCCAAGATGTAGATTGATCGGTGAAAATAAAAGATATATATGTGTGTGTGAGTATGTTAAACTTAGCTATTAAGAATTTTTTCAATTGTTACAAAATTCTTAAGAACGTTGTATTAGGAAAATATTTTCTCTGCATGAATTTGTTATATTTTTATTTAATATATTCCATTCTTTTGTCAAATATTAAGCACATTTTGTTTAAAAAACTGTGTAAATATCTTCATAGTACCTGACATAACTATAAAGTCATTAGAACTATTATATTTAAAAATGGTGTAAAATATTTATTACAGGGACAAATTTAATAATAAAGGAATAAAATATATATAGGTACATATTTAATATATGTTTTATTAGGTATCAAATAGGTATTAAAAATATCAAACCCGATCAATAATCAATTACAGTTGGATTAAAATATCTGAAACAATTAATGGGATATCAAGTCCAAGCGCCAGTATGCATACCGCTGGGTATCTAGTCCAGGTATCAGATAAAAATATCACATAAAAGTATTCGATGCGGGTATCAGATAAAAATATCCGATACAAATATCAGATAATGGAATGAAATAGCCCAAGACAGGCAGAGATTGAGCATACTTGTAAAGGTGGCAAAAGATCTACATGGTCTGTAATACAAAAAGAAAAAAAAAAAAAAAAAAAAAAAAAAATATATATATATATATATGTGTGTGTGTGTGTATGTTAAACTTAGCTATAAAGAATTTTTTTAATTGTTACAAAACTCTTAAGAACGTTGTATTAGGAAAATATTTTCTTTGCATGAATTTGTTATATTTTTATTTAATATATTCCATCCTTTTGTCAAATATGAAGCAAATTTTGTTTAAAAAATTGTGTAAATATTTTCTTAGTACCTGACATAACTATACAGTCATTAGAACTATTATATATTAACTAATAAGCCCAAGCGCCAGTATGCATACCGCTGGGTATCTAGTCCAGGTATCAGATAAAAATATCTGATAAAAGTATCCGATGCGGGTATCAGATAAAAATATCCGAAATTAACATTACATAAAAAAAAGAAAAGACAGCGTGAATATATTTATCAACAAATAAATATTTAATTAAATTAAACTAAATGAATAGATAGTTCTAAAGAAATTGTGCACAACTAAAATTATAACTAAACATTTCTCTTATATCAATGTGGCATGTCTGGACAACCATTTTGTATCCACGTGAGCATCAGATACTTTTGTATCAGATACTTTTTGGTTGTATCTACTGGTTGTATCAGATACTTTTTTAGTATCAGATAAAAGTATCTGATACATACAATCTGACACATCCCTAATTGCTGGTGCTTGGTTAACTCATATTAAGCAACATTTTTTTCGTTTTGGTTTTTAAGATGTCTCGATACTTAACATATTCATCTTCTAACGGGCTCAGAGGTATGTTTGAAAATAATGTATGCTTACGAAAAAATTTATTGAGCAGTAGACATTGTGCTTTTCACGACAGTCGAAAACTGTTTTTAAAAAAGTTCCATTTTTTCAGAGTCTTTTTTAAAAAGTTTCAACCCTCATTAAAAACACAATTTTTAAAGCTCAAATAAGAAGAATTATTTTTTAAAAGAATTTTTCCATCCGAGCACAGATATGAAAGATAATCATAATTGCTTTTCTTTCTCCTTGGATTCATAATTTTTATCACAATGCCAAATTGCATTAATTAATAATAATATAATAAAAATATAAATATATCCCTCCAGTTTAATAATTCAGCAATAATACACAGCTATCCTTGAACTTGCACTAATCCATTATTGTACTTGCTCAAGACCTATTTTTTTGGTACACCCTAATTTTTCGACGACTTTAACAAAGTTGTTGATGGAATTTAAGAATCGAAGTTCTCTATGAAATTCCCTTTGGTTTGATCCCATTGCTCCTAAGACCCAGAAAAGGAATCTATACCATATTATATATAGTGTAGGTAATCTTACAATAATTAAATTAAAATAATACCTTGCAATAATTATATTATAATATATCACTCATCTGTGCAACATTATGACTTGAAAATTATGATCTTTGAATTAATATGACACCATGGCAACTGCAATGATATGAACTCTTAAGTAGTAGAGTTTCATCTGTGGGATTTCAATGCCAATTATGCCATATTTTAATTCCGCATAGTTCCAAAAAAATTAAACCGTTTATGAAAGCCGGTAAAGAACTAAGGCTCGAAATAAACATGGATAAAACAAAATATACAGTTAGCTGCAAAAACAGCGACTATTTCGGTGATATCGATATAGAAGGGAATGTGTTTGAACATGTAGAAAATTTTAGGTATCTAGAAAATTTTAGGGTATAAAATAACTAGAAAAAACAAAATTGAAGAGGAGATTAAGGTTAGTTTGAAGGCAGGAGATGCTTATTCTTCTATGTCAAAACTACTTAGCTTGCACCTCCTGTTCCGAAACTTAAAAATTAGAATTTACAAAACCATTATCCTTCCCCCGGTTCTTTATGGATGCGACACATGGCCGTTTAGATTAAGGGATGAGCAACGTCTTAAGGTTTTTGAAAATAAAGTATTGGGCAGAATATTTGGGCCGAAGAAGGATGAGTCAACGAGAAAATTTAAACAGTTAAACAATGTTGAATTGTGCGAACTGTGCCTGGTTAATATAACTGAGACCATTTAAATCGGCATGTAAAGTCGCTGGGATTAGCAAGGAAAGAATTCCTAAAAAAGTAATATGGGCTTTACCGACTGGAAAGCATTTGAGGGTTAAACCGAAGCAAAGGAAGATTGTGTTAAGGCTGATCTGATGGGATTAGGTTTAGACAGCGCCTGGTAGATTGAAGAATGTAGACATCGATTGGTGGTATCGGCCATCGAACCTTCAAGTTCATTAAGCCTTATTAATACATACTATTCAAATAAAAAACTTCAAATACATTTTCTGCAAAAACCTGAATTTTGAGCATGACATTGTTGTTGCAAATGGACAATACAATACATTATTATTTCTGATAATATAAGGAAGTTAACATGGACAGAGAATATAGCTCAAAGCAATCCATGGATAGCTAGGATGAACAAAGATGCTTTATGGCTGTAACAACAAACTGGACAACAGTACCACAGGCAGATTTGGAGTTTTTTTTTTCTTTTTTTTTCTAGTTCAGTAATATTTGATTACTTGATTTGAATACTCAAAACTTAGTAACGCTTCCATTGCTACTTAACCAGGTAGATTCATATCTCAGATTTTTTTGTCTATATTTTTCTACTAATTTAAAGTGTCAATTTATCGAAGTTAATTTAGATTATTGTTTTATGTTGATTATTGAAAGTTATATAGAAGAAATATTTAACATAAATGTTTTCATTTTTCTAGGACTCCCAATACAATTGCCTGGTATCTGGGATAACGGAATATGCGCATCGATGGCATATAAATATGACATAGACGATTTTCTGGTAAATGAATAATTTTTTTATTTTGATGTAATTATCATTTTTTGAATTCCTTGTAATTAACTGTAAGTAAATGCTTCAATTATACTCAGCGTCACTGTGTTTTGAAAAAAGAGATACATAATTCAATTTAATGTCTTTATTTTCAACATATTTAGTTGTTTTCTATGTTGAATAAAAGTTATTTATTATACCTAGATTCACAAAATTATTATACAAAGATTCACCAAGATTAACAATAAAATTGTTAAAAAGCGGAAAGGGGTACATGTTGGAGGAATGGTGAAGTAAGGGAGAGAGGGAGGCAGACTTTAATTTTTGGCTAAGGTTTACACATGATTCTAAAGCAATTCAGATGACTCGATCTTGTCTATTCTGAAAAATCCAACCCATCACAAATATCACTTTTTTTATTATCATATATTCTAAATTGGGAATGATATTTAATAGTCACAATGATAACTATCCATATAAAGATAACTTATAACCATAATGTACTGGATTTAGAATTATCTGAAATCCTATTTCAATTATTTTTAATGTAAAGATACTTGTAAGTTATAAATCTGATTTATTTTTTAAATAAAGAAGAGAAGAATAGTTGGGGTGGTCAGTCAAAAAAGAAGGCAAAAATAAATGATAATATTTATTTTTACATATGCCGACGTTTCGACCTGAAGTTCAGGCCTTCATCAGGGCTAAGAAAATAACCAGATAACAAGGTATGAGAAACATAAGTAGTGATGGTAAAAAAAAAAAAAAAAAAAAAAAAAAAAAAAAAAAAAAAAAAAAAAAAAAAAAATATATATATATATATATATATAAAGTAAAATGAAATTGTTAGAATTATGACTAAGAACTAAGAACTAAGTTATTTTCTTAGCCCTGATGAAGGCCTGAACTTCTGGTCGAAACGTCGGCATATGTAAAAATAAATATTATCATTTATTTTTACCAATTATTTTTTAAATATTTTTCTGAGTTCATAATTTTGGTAAATAAGGAATATATTCTCAAAAATTTCTGACTGATCTTTTTACAAACTTGTGTAATGATACAATGCTTAACCTTTCTTTTGCACATATTCAGAAATACAAATAAAAAATATATTTACATGACATATTGCTAACGGCAATATGTCATAAGACTGCTTGTAAAAATTGATTTTTTACAAAAGACTATAGAAACCTATTATTTCTTTATGATATATTGTTATAATTTCATGTTTTATTTCCCTCTGCTATTTTTATATTTAGCAGACTACTTATAGCAGCTGTAGACTAAAAATCATCATCTTTAGGGCCAAGATTTAAAGTTTTTATATATGACCTTTTGCACAAACTAGTGGTATGTGTCTTAAGCATGCAGTAAAAACAAAACTGAAAATCTAGTATAAGAAATAAAAAATACTTATTATTTTCACCTCTGAATATTTTTACACATATAGGCTTTTTCAACATAGTTGTTGATATGCTGTTTTTTAAAAAATTAAAATAAATAATAGTCATGTAGTTTAAAAAAAATCAAATTTTCATCACAACTTAATTTTTTTTTTTTACTATAGATCTTTTATACACCTTTCATTTGTAATATTTTATTACCTGGCAGTAAATATTCATCTCCCCTCCCTCCCCCCCAAAAAAGCAGTAACATAGTGTTTCTGCCTTCTGCTAAGAAATAAGCCTTTTCAGTAATCCTCATAAGACCCAGCTGATCAAGTATCAACTAAACTGTATTAACCAAATACATTTTTTTAGACCTTTGCTAATCTGTATATAGAGAACTATAATTTATTTTAAAACAAAGTATATATTTTACAACTCTGGTTATATCGCCGATATTCTAGTTCTTGATAATAATAACAATAAACCTTTGGATAATGATACTTTAGGATTATTTTATAAATAGCCAGCCGAGTATTTAAATTAGAGATTAAAAAAAAAAACAAAAAAAAAAAACATGAATTCTTATCCTTTTTACCTATTTCTAATAAACCCATGTATGACTTAAGGATCAAAAGTTTTGACCCACTGATTGTAAGTAGATAATATTGTGATTTCATAGAGGAAAATACATCAAAATATTCACTAATTTAATTTTCTAAAATGTTACATGATGATTTTTCCAAATTAACTGACGATAGATATCTAATTACTTAAATATTATATAATAAGATTTAGAGTTATTAAATTACTTTAAATTTATTTAAGGTTATAGAAATGCATGTGTATTACACATCCATGAAATATTTTTATATTTCACTTCTTCTTTCACAAAAGTCCCATGAAATATTTTTTTAAACAATGCCATTGCCCTGATTCGGTGGATTTTTATACTTATTTTTATATTTAAAAATTAAAAATAATTTTAAAAGTTTGCATTCAGTTAGGAACTTTCATTTCATTTCCTTGGTAACCTGTTTCCGTTAACTAATATTAATTTTAAGAAATTATTATTTATAATCTTTTCGTCACTTTACATTATCTTCTAGGACTTGGTAAATTAGATATTGTTTTTTCTAAAATTCTCAGCTTTCCTATAAGGTGGATCGAAACGTCGAAACAATTAAAAATACTATTTTTAAAAAATTTAGTATTTATTTGACCGCCTCCCCCGACCAACTCCTCATATTATATCATGGTCAACCATCTATACATCATTAATCAATATAAATGAATAAAATTATATTACGTTTGTTAGTATTTTATTAATGTCACATTGAAAGTTTGACAATGAATGGGTTAATTTCAGATTTTTTTTTTTGGTTAGCTTTACAGACCTTTGAGATCTTTAGTAGCCTCTACCTATTTCCTCCACCTATGTCTGTCCTAGTCTAAGGCTTTCCCATTTCTTACACGTTAAGCTGGGTACTGTTTTATCCTATCTAACCACCTGAGCTTCGACCTCCATCTCGGTGTAGTTCCTACTACTCAAGCGTTTATATATGGCAAGGGAGGACCTGTTGGAAGGCTAGCCACCACATGTCCCTCCCGTTGTAACTCTTTACCTTCCTATTGAGCACGACTGATTGTTTAATTTTTAATTGAGGCTTGATATTACAGGATTGGAATTTAAATTCAATAAAAAAGATGTCGTCTTCTTGTATAATTATTTATTTTTTTCTCTTTGCACAATCGGTTTCGGTCTTTTATCAGACCTTCATCAGGCTAGGTAAAATAATAAAGTAATAAAATTAACAACAATAAAATTTTTTTATACAAAACAATCAAATAATAATAAAACATAATTTAAAATTTAACTATTAATTTTATAATTATCAGTACCTATATATGTAATTATTCTGAAATTAATAGTAATTATAGTAGATTAATAATATTTTTAAAAGAGGCGGAAAAATTGTGGCCCTTAACCCTTTAGATGCGCAAAGCCAATATAATGGTTAGGGACGGCCGAGACACCAGTGCGCCAATGCCAAATAGAGTGGCTTCGGAAAGTACCACTTCAGTATCCCGCGCACACGGGACCTGACCTTGATTCAGGCTTCCCGCATCTAAAGGATTAAACCTCTTACAAGTTTAAAAAGTATGGTATTCAGGACTAAAGATCAAGTTGATTATTTAAATAAGAGTGGAGTCTACTCGATAGAATGTTCGTGTCCTGACTGATATGACGGGAAGAAAACTGGAAAGCAGAATTAAAGAACACTGCCCTGGGTCTGGCCATGCATCTCATTTTGAGGATCATTTTTTCAATTGTTCACACCCAAAAAAAAATAATAAGGTAAAATTGTTGCATACCGTTTCAATTGGGAAAAGAAAGGACTTTTTTGAAAAATTAAAAAAATAATTATAAAAAATGACGTAATATGCCTGAATGTGGAAAGTACTCGATTTGAGGATTCTACCCTCATAACATTTGTGGCGGCTAATGTGAACAAGACGTGCGAGTAGTGGTAGCACATCTGGTCAATAGCTTTATTTTTATTTTTAGTCCTCATTTGAAAAGTAGGAGAGGAGGACGACCATAAGTTAGGTGATTACCATTTTTTATTAAATAATTTATTAAGATTGGATAATAAATTGTTAAATTTTAAATTAGCTTTTATTATTATTTGATTGCTTTGTAAAAAAATTTTTATTGTTGATGTTAATTTTATTATTTTACCTAGCCTGATGAAAGTATGATAAAAGACCAAAACCAGCTGCGCAGAGAGGAAAAAATAAAGAATTATAAAGGAAGACATCTTTTTTATTGATTGCTTCATTTTGGAGATTGTTTTTTCCTTCATCTTTTTTTACACTGATTATAATTATAAAAATCAATGTTTTTAACAAATTTATTGATCAATGCTAATTTGTGTATAATTATAAATATTATATTATATTAATATTATTAAATTATATTGAGCATACTGATTAGCCATCAAGATCAGGAAGTTATGGCCTTTTTGACTGCATAAATCCAGTGTGCTCTGCCTTCAGAATTGGAGAAGACGGCTATATGGAAAGTAAGTGTAATGATCACTTCTTATATTATGTCAGAGTTATAAAATTATTTTGTCTTTGAATGATATTTTATATTATTCAAATAAAAAAAAATGTATTATTAAATAAATAAAATGTGTTGCTTAGTGAACGAATAATATACACCCTTGCCATAAACAGCATTTTTGTGGCTAAAAATTTGGAAGGAAGAGAAAAGGAATTAGGGCTATCTAACAATAGAAATTATGGTTTCTGTAAGTGGTATAAATTATTTCCATAATTGGTAATTGGTTGACTGTCGTGGATAATGAAGAGAAGAATAGTTGGGGTGCTCAGTCAAAAAAGGAAGGCAAAAATAAATTATAATATTTATTTTTTACATCTGCCGACGTTTCGACCTGAAGTTTAGGCCATCATTAGAGCTTTCTCCTAAAGTGTCAAAGTGAGAAACTTTGAACATTCATTCAAACAGAATAACAAACATTCTCACTTTGACACTTTAGGAGAAAGCCCTGATGATGGCTTGAACTTCAGGTCGAAACGTCGGCAGATGTAAAAAATAAATATTATAATTTATTTTTGCCTTCCTTTTTTGACTGAGCACCCCAACTATTCTTCTCTTCATTCGGTATAAATTATTTGTTATGTATCTAAATGGTTTTCATCTAAAATTTATTGTCTGCGAAGAGATAGAATCATGAAGTCAGGACTTAAATGAATGGTCACATAATAATATTTGGTTCATCTTATACTTGTTATAAGTTCTATAAGTAGCCAACATCTGTTAGTGAAAATTATACTGTCTAGTTCTATATAGAAAAGGGTATCAGCGTTTCTTAGGTAGATTCCATAAACGGCATATACCTAGTTCTGCCATAAATACTGTTTCAAAAGTTTAACTTCTTTTCATCCTTGGGTATTATTTAGACAATCCTTACCTCTATCAGGCTATTTTCTTTACATTTCAGGATAATTCTTATTAGTTTGTATTTTTCTTTCACTCAGTTGACATGGAGTTGGGTGATGGTTGAACAAAACTGAATTGCTGTGATCGCCTCACACAAAGTTGGAAAATGTAGGTCAGAGATTTTTTTGAAAATCTTTGGGTATCAGCCGTATGTTCGTGTACCGCATAAATAGATATAATGAGATGTATGTGACAGACCTCGACCGGGCCGTTTCTGCACTGTGAGAACAGCAAATGCAGAGAGAGCAGTGGCTGCTCGAATCAGAATAAATCCCATTCAAAAACAACAAGTCATGTCTCAGGAAGCGGGAATCTCTGTCACATCAATGTCTTGTATAATAAAAAGTGACCTTAGGATGGGTGCATTTCGAAGAATGACAGGACAAAGGCTAATTTCTTCCCTAAAAAAAATAGAGTGGATAGATGCAAAGTGCTCCTTGGCCGTTACACCAATGATCTTTATAGAAAGATTTTGTTTAGTGATGAGAAAATTTTTACAATTGAAGAAAAATTTATTCGCTAAAATGATTGTGTGTACGGCAACTACACAGCACTAAAGAAGCCCAGGAAGTCATTGGATGAATGGAAAGAAGTCATCACCCTTTCTCAGTGATGGTTTGATGGGGAGTTAGCTTTGATGGCACCTCAAAGCTCTATTTTTGTGAAAAAGAAGTCAAAACAGCCGCTAAAAATTATCAGGACGATATTTTGGAATCTATTGTCAAGCCTCTAATTGATAATCCATTTGCTGGAAGTCATTGAGTTTTCCAGCAGGATTTCGCTCCAGCTCACAAGGCCAGGTCAACTCTGCAAAAGAACTTTCCAGAGTTCATCTCTGCCTCGGATTGGCCCTCAGGAAGCTCTGATCTTAATCCACTAGATTACTAGATGATTGGCAACGGAGATTAAATGTCAAGGCAAAAGGGGGACATTTTGAGTAATTTCTTTTTTGTTTTACTCTCTATAGATATACATTTTATTTTCTAATAAAGTTTTTGAAAAAATTAATTTCTCTATATATTTCCTAAAATATTTTTTAAATTAATCTGTATATATTTCCTTGTAACAATATTTATGACAGGGCTAGGTAGTCAATTCAATATATTTATTATTATAATAGTAGTTAAATAGTTGACTGTCGTGAATAATGAGGAGAAGAATAGTTGGGGTGATCAGTCAAATAAGAAGGCAAAATAAATGATAATGTTTATTTTGTCATTTGTCGACGTTTCGACCTAAAGTTCAGCCCTGATGATGGCCTGAACTTCAGGTCGAAACGTCAGCAAATGACAAAATAAATATTATCATTTATTTTGCCTTCTTATTTGACTGATCACCCCAACTATTCTTCTCCTCATTATTTATTATTATACTATATTCCTATTTGTTCCAGATAGGAATTGATCTTTTGAAGAATATATTATATATTGTCGGTTTATTGTAAAAATTAATTAAGTACATTTTTGATGAAGCTGTACTTTTAAGAAAATTTTTGTGAATTTCGACCTTATATATCAATAAGAAAAGTTCACTAAAATTTCTGTCATAAACTCTTTTTTTTATATAAAATAAAGTTACAAGTGCCCAATTTTCTGAATTCACAAATGGAAAATTCATCAAAGTTCTTACTGATTTAAGGTTATGAAATGTCATTTGATGACTTTCTGTAATAAACTGATGACATATTTAATATTATTTTGAAGGCTAGAAACCACAAATTCTCATGCTATGATATGCTATGTTGAGATATGTTTAATAATGGATTTGTATTCCAATAGTGTCATGTTTACAAATTTACTGAGGTAAATTACAGGCTTACAGTTTAATGAATTAAAATTAGGTCCTAAATTAGGAAACATATATATTTTTATTTAAGAATTCTAGCAAGTTATGAAAACCAGACCCACTCTTTCGTAATAATTCATTAGGCTCACTCAGTTTCCATTTCCACCAAAACTGACTACTTCTTCAGCTCCCTTCAAAAGGTCTCTCATGGAAATCCTTTTTATTGACTAATTCTCATTTTAAGGACTGGATTACCTTCGCAAAATTCTGAAGTGGTATTGAAGGTTCTAAATTTATGTTATCATTATAATTAGCTAAAAAGTTTGTCAGCATTATATTGGAGCGTTAGTGCTGACCATTTGCAGACCAGGCATCTGGGTACTTTCCTAAGAAACCTTATCTTCAATATTGCTTCGGGCAATATTTAATATTCACTAAATATGACTGACCATATATATAATTATTATTTATGAAATATATCTCAATGTCCACATTACCTTCAATACTGAGCAAAGGACAGATCTTTGAAAACAGGGAGGATAAAATGAGGTCATGAGGAGGGGAGATGGCAGTCTAACAGGTGTTTTGAAATTTCTTTCCATTCATTGGAGCAAATTCTATGAATGGATGTGAATTCATAAAGTTCATTGAATTTAATTAGCTGATTTAAAAACTAAGATTTGTGCTCTAGTGCACGTGCAAAAACAGTTCAATTAGTCGATTCCAGCTGACTTTAACCGAACCTTGCACATCCGGGGTCTGACAGCTCAATCTAATTCACTCTCCACAAAAAAAGTGCAAAACAGAGTAAAGAAGTTTTTACTGTACTTCATTACTATATATTCAATTACTATATTTCACTAATGAGAAAACCTTGGAAATGTAAATATTAAGATTTACAACACTTTCTATACCAAGATCTATTCAGAAATCAGCTAGGGAGGAGATTTAAAGGTTAAGGGTATGAATAATCTTACTAAGTGCTTAATTTAACAAAGCTCTTTTTTCTGTTAATAAAACAAGATGATGTAAATCTGGAACTGAGATATTTGAATACACTATATCATCAAATTTATACTTTTTGGCAATTATCTCGAAACTGGCTTTAATGATTTTGATTAAACTATTGGGTTGACAAATAAGTCCTTTCAGTTTTTCATGGTGAAATAAAACTCAATGCATTATAGACATAAAATTTATTTTAATCTACAATATATTGACCATTATTTAATACGACTTTTTCCCATCTTTCCACTAACCGCATAATGCCATGTTCGTATCTGGAGTTTATTGTTAAAAAAATTATGCAAGTGGTTTTTGATGTCCTCTTCCTTTTGAAATTTCTTTCCATTCATGGAGTTCTGCAGAGACCGGAATAAGTGGTAGTCACTTGGAGTTAGGTCTGAAGAATAGGGATGGTGGGTCAAAAGGTCCCATCCAAGGCTCAATAATTTATTGTGAGTGACCAATGAGGTGTGGGGCCTAGCGTTGTCTTGGCAGAACAAAATACCCTTTCGATCATTCTTAATTATTCAGGATGTTATCCGAATTTGATGTTGCTATATCAGTTGGAAAGGTGAATTATTGCTCTTCAAAGCCGTATGAATGGTTTTTTTATTTAATGCCTACTTAAGGAATAAATAAACAAAAACTCCTTATAGGCTTTTATTTTTTTTCTCCATTTGCAGTTCGTTTACAAAGGTCCTATTGATGTCATTTTGTGTAGTTTATGTGGCCCTAAATGCCTACTAAATTTCTTGTTGATAGCTAAAGTCATATTGAAGTTATAGCATTTTTTGTGATTTAAAAAAAAAATCATGTGAGGGACCCAAACATTAAGCCTGGAAACATAGCCGAGCTTGTGCTAATAGTTTTCTATGCTTGTGTGTGTGACACATTTAGGGCCATAGCAATCTATAGCACTGATTGGGTGGGATTTCGATCAATAATGACCTTAATATTACTCATTTTAATTTCATTTGGGCGACCAGACCGTTGAGCATCACTAATGTCAAAATTTCCTGAATGAAATTTGACTTGAAACTGGCAAACCAATTTTGACAGGTGCGTTCGGTTATGGCATCATTCCCATAAACAAATTTTTCTATGATCTCCAGCAGCACACTAATTTTTTAAAAAATGATACCACAAAATATGCTGATAATGAATGATATTTTCTCCCATATACACAGTGCAATAGCAAACACAATATTAAGCTAGTTTCAACAAGAGTTAACAGATATAGTCGTTGACATACTACAAACAGGATAAACAATCCACATTAGGAATTAATTCATCAGATAAGCAGTGTATCATAGTGAAATTAAAAATAAACAGAAAAACAGAAAGGACTTATTTATTTGCCAACCCAATAGTTACATCAATGTACACCTTAGTGTAGATTAACTATTACCTAGTGTTATTATCCTAATTGGTATTTTCTGACAAGACATTCCATTTTCAGTTAATGGAATGACCCATAAAACAAGAATGGAATGCTATATGATTTTCATTTTTACATTAATTAATAATAATAATAATAATAATAAGGCTTAGCGAACCCGAAGGTTCGATGCCGACACCACCAATCGCTTGTTACAAACCTCCCTCCACCGTTCGCCGTCCAAACCCAGTCCCTTCAGATCGGCTTTAATGCAATCTTCCCACCTTCGCTTCGTCTACCCCTTGGACGCTTACCATTCGGCACAGCAAATATTAATCTTTTAGGAATTCTCTCGTTACTAAGCTCAACAACTTTACAAGCCCATTTGATTCGCAACGATGAAATTACATTAATTATATTACCCGTATACAGCTCACGCAATTCGGCGTTCTGTAGCCGTCTGAACTCTCCGGTTAACTCATCCTTCTTCGGTCCGAATATTCTACGCAATACTTTATTTTAAAAAACCTTAAGTATATATACGTAAATAGAGTATATTAAATAATGTATATTAAGAGTATAGATGTATGTAATAATGTATAGAGTATATTAATAATGTAAGTATATTAAATATATGTAATCAGAAATTTACATTAATTAAACATTACATTAATGTAAATTATGAATTATTTTCAGGAAACTCAAGGCCAGGAACCAATCAATTATATCGATTCGGAATTCAATCCAATAATGGAAATGAAATAACAGAAGCTGCAAGGGCAGCTTGATGATGAATTTGTCAAAAGAGTCTATCATTATATAAATAAACATTGTTAGACCTCACATTCACAATATCTATTTTAAATTCCAGATATTCCAGATTATGACCCCACACATGCTTCATATACTTTACAAAATCACTTGCAAATCTTACACGACTGGTACAAACTTTTGAAAATAAAACTAAATCACAACAAATCCCAACACATAACATTTTCACTCCGACGCGAAAACTGCCCTCCTGTCTATCTTGACAATGAACATATTCCCCAATCTGACAAAGTACATTACCTAGGCCTAACATTTGACAGAAGGATGACATGGGGCTCACACATCACCGCTAAGCGAAAGACACTAAATCAACGATTTAGACTATTATATTCCCTACTGGGACGTCGCTCAAAACTAAAGCTAAGACAAAAACTTAACACTTACACTTACTTACTAAAACCACTTTGGACATACACATCACAAATATACGGAATTGCCAAAAAACTCACATTCAGAAATTACAAATATTCCAGGCCAAAACCTTGGTATGTTAGTAACATAACTCTCCACAAAGACTTCCACATGCAAACCGTCACAGAACATATACAAACTTACTACAAAAGGTTTCACAACAAGCTCTATGGTCACCCCAATAGACTCATCCAAGACATGGCCAATAAAAACATGCCCGATAACATCCGCAGAAGGGTGAAAAGGAGTTGGATGAGAGATCTCCTTAATTAACCTCAAACATGACTGAAGATAAACCACTGGGTTTTTCTCTTCCTCATGCCTATCATGCCCTTTTTCCTAGTCTATTTGTACAGTTATCTCATTCACTGGTTGTCAGTGGACATTGACAGTTGTGAATTAAAAAATAAAGAGGAAAAAAAAAAGATATAAAAATAAAAATAGTAGTGTTAAAAATGTTTTCATTTGTACTCAATTTGATTCTTAAAAAATAAATAAACATTTACAAATAATATAAATACTATTTACCTTAGACTTTAGGTGAGGACGTAATGGACAAGCATGTTATGGTTTGGGACTCAGAGTACCTGGTTCTGAACGATGTGAGCTCGATTCCTACCTGGATTGGTCAATATTTATTTCTCGGAATCAATATTTCTTCAATATCCACTATCATCCAATCATCTGTCTATCATATATTTTACAAGTCTAAAATAAAAAATATAGTCAATTTGGACAATTAGTCAAAATAAAGACAGTATATAAAAAGATTAGTGGACAATAAACTAGAAAATGATTCCACGCCTCATTTGCAAGAAAGAAGTATATATAGGCCATGATAAGGTTCCATACAGAAAAGCAGTGACTTCTAGTTTTGTATTCATGGAAGTATCATGTGTTTCATTTAAAAGGAAGTATCAACTAAAACACTATTTCAAATAAAAATAATATAAAAACTATTCTACTTTAAATACAAGAAGAATTTATATTTATACAAAAACATTTTAAGAGAATTTTTAAGCTGTTTTATATCAAACCATGAACTATTTGCAATTTTTTTTTATCAGACTCCTACTACAACACTAAATCCACAATTTTACAAAAACTTCCAACTATAATAAGCTTGAAGTCCAATTTATAAGTTGAAGTTTGTGTTAGAATAAGTTGAAAATCTTTATTTCGTAAAGCAAATTAGGCGATGTAAAATTATGTCTCCTAAAAGTACTGGTGTTTACAATAAAAACAATCAAGAATAATTTCTTTCTCTTTTTTTTTTTTTACTGTTACCTTTAGCATTGGAAGCTCAGTACCCTACCACTGAACTACCCCACTTCCCCCACAGGGGGGCAGATATTACATAATTATAAAGAACTATTGGAGAGCTTTAAATTTGGAAGGTATACAATGAATCAAGGTTAGTAAATTGAGATCAGGGGCTCTCACCATTAAGCTAATGAATTAGATCGAGATGTTTATTAACTATAAATGATTATTTAGTTTGTTATTGATTTATTGATCATGTTATTGATTTATTGATTTGAATCATTGATTTAAATGGCAGTGATCCCTTTACCTAATTGGCAATTTATAATTTTATTAAATGTGTGGATTTGAAATACCTTTTAATTTAACATCACCTTTAAATAAATATTTCTGAATTAATGATTTGAAAACTTAACTTTTTCCTTAAAGCAAATATTTGGCCAATAGGATTCGTACATTACAGAAAACGTAGATCATACTGTTAATTTCAAATGAGATTAAGTCAACTGCAAATAGATCAGCATTATGCAGAAACAATAAACAAAATTAATTTATAAATATATTGAAATGCAAAAAAAAATGAGTTTGGTGCTTGTTTAAAACTTTGAAAAAATAATTCGTGTTAAATTTTATATATATAATTTATACTGAATTGTATAACTAATTTTCGGAAATAAAAATAAAAGTAATTTTTTTTTTTTAATAATTAATAATAGTGCTATGAATAAAATATATTTATTTATAATATAATATTTATGAATTAGTTTAACAATACATAAAGATAGTGTAATAATGTAATTTGTAATTTTAAAAATGTTTGAAACAAATGAAGAAGTTTAAAATGAACACAACCTTATAGAGGGACCTTTTAGTATTTGACTAATTAAGTTAGGTTGACAAGGACAATTCAGTCCATATGTTTGTAATTTTTAAATTAGGTTTATAGAATGAGCTATGGGGCCCCACCAAACCTTTATATTCCTCTCGATCCAATCCTTACAATCCAAAATCCTCAATGCTCCTTACTTCGTTACAAATAAAATCATCCATAATGACCTTAATGTTCCTTATGTATCATATTTGGCCCAATCCAGATATCTGTCTTTCCATAATAAACTTCATAACCATCCCAACCTTTTTGTTTCTAACCTTGTTTCCTATTCAATTCCTGATAATCATCCGAGGCGTCTGAAGAGAAGATGGCCACGTGGTCTTCTAATATAGACATATTATTAGAATGCTACCAATGGGTAGTTTATCAACATGTGTTTCATGTCATTATATCCATGTGCGAATTTACTAGACGTATTTTTTGTATACAGTTGTAAGTATCATATAAATAAATTTAAAAAAAGGTTTGTAGATATAAAGTATAAAATTAAAATAGTTAATAAACAATTGAAATTAGGCTGTAATGATTTTTTTATTTGTTAGAGTTTGAAAATGGCCTAAGGGCAGAAATGTTGGTGTAGACAAATAAAATAGGACTGTTGTGATCAATTTGTGTTTTTATTATTACTAACAGGATTAGTTTTTGTACTTGATAATTGATAACTATCAATCTCTTTGTCTTTGTCTTCAATATGATTTAATATTAATAATTATGATGGGTGTATTTTTATATGAGTAAGATAAAATACGAGTTTGTTTTGTAATCAAAAAGTATAAATTTTCGAACCTAATTTTATTGGAGGATTTTTCTTTTAATGCCATTTACTAAACTATTCATAACTCATCAGGATTCGCTTCTAACAATAAGTCAAAGTTACTACAACCATTGGAAAGCTAAATTATTGCTCTTCGGAAAACATATCAATAACTTTTAAATTTTACGCCTTGAATAAGAAATAACTAAAGAAAAGCACGCCAAACGTTTTTACTTGTTATCTCCAATCCTAATTTAGGCTATAAACTATATAAATAACTAAACATTGATGACAGAATTATGAGATTGAACACATTTCTTACGAAAGCAGTCTACAGACATAATACGGCTTAGTCCAGAGATATATGTTCCACTGTACGTTTCTAAAACGTTGCTGGAAAAATCCGCCTTAAAGATGGCGATGGAAGTCCATCCACCTTGATGGGTTGAGAAGAGTAACCATGAACCGACCTCTCCCCAGCAGCTGTCAATGTTAGAAGTTATATTGTCAGAACGATATGCTACTGAGGCTGCCATTGAAAGAACAATCTAATGGCGAGGTCTCAATGGGGCATTATTGGGTATTTTATTAGGTATTTCAGCGAACATCAATGACTAAAATAAATATTTATATATCGTAAGAGAAAGTATTGCAGTTACACAATCGGCCATAACCCATAACCAATTATATTAATAACATTAACTTCATTCTTTATTATGTTAGCTTTACTATTAACTTTATTTAAACAATTGATATTCTTTAAATGTGACAATTATTATTTATTGAAAGTTCGCAAAAGCTATCAAAGTTTCCAAAAGATAAAGCCATCCAGGATAGCTTAGAAATAGTAATCTAGAAGGCACCGACTGGACACAATAAGGCCCAATGTCAATAACAGATTGCAGAAAAAGGCCCATTTCTCTCATATCAATACTAAAAACTAGCGGATCCAGAATTTATTTTTTTGGTGGGGGGGGGGCTTCAGCCCGAAAGTTGTTTTTTTGTTTGGAAAAAAAGAAAGAAACTAACTACCTATATGAAATGGTGTTTAAGTGATTCCCAAAGCCCTTTTAAATGTAATTACACGAACAATAATACTTAAAGAGATACGTTTTTAATATTTTTTTCGATAAAACATGGTTATATTTTACCATTTTGGGGGGGGGGGGCTTCAGTCCGAAAGTCCTCCACTTTCCTCCATAGATCCGCCCGTGATACTAAACAATAACAATATCAATTTCTAATAACTTTTCAAATGTTAATAACGCCAGTCGTTCCCATGCATACCAGATTCCTTCTCTTATCATCCAGATCCCTATACCCTTTTCTTAGATAGACAAGTCTCCTAATTCAAGGGGGATTCATTTTCATGGCTAGATGTTCAGCAGTTAGTATACAGTAAGATATTCATATTTATAACATTGCATTCATAAATAAAGTTTGCTAAAGTATATTGAAGTAACGATTTGTTAACTTTGCGATCATGAAAAATTTCGAATCTATAAAAAAAAAACACTTCCTGAGATTGGTACTATGTTTTCTCCCTTTTTCTTCGATTGAAATCTCCCAGAATTAAAATCCCACATAAATATTGCTAGGATAATTCAAAACCCTGTAAAAATGTGACCCTCTCAAAA